AGTCTCCCTGTTAGGAGGTCATAACTTACCTCTTTGTCCCAAAATTCAGTGCACATTTCTGTCCTTAAATCCTGGACTTCTTCAGAGCATATGAAGTGGTCGATTGTTCTGGCCTAGAAATACTCTTTCCCCAGCTTCCAGAACACCACATTATCTACCTGCAGTCTCCTGCCTATCTAATTCCATCTTGCTATGCTTCTATAGCTCTCCCATATATGTTGTTGTTCTTACGATTCCTTTCAGGCCTCTTCTCTTCCTTCCCAAACCATATTCCATGGGCAATTGCATATACTCCCATGGCTTTAATTATGAACCACAGATAACCTCCAAATATATGCTCCCAGCCCAATTCTTACTTTGATACCCATATATGTAACTGTCCCCTGGACATCTCCATCTGGATGTCCCATAAGCCTTTCAGCATATCCCAAACTGAAATCTTCTTCCTTCCCCAAACCTGTTTCTCAATGGAGGAAGCCATTAGGTTGACCATGAAATGGAACATCATTTTTGACAATTCCCTTTCTTTTTCCTGAACACACCCAATCAAACACTAATCATGATACTCCTTTCTCTCAAATACCTCAAAATATGTGTTTCTCTTCATCTTACACTGACTCCTTCCCAGTCCAAACAGCTGCCATCTCTTTATCCAGACTCCTATAGTAGCTTCCTAACCTTCATGAATGAATCACTCACCTCTAGTCCATTCTCCATCCTATAGCAGGATTGTTCTTTCTAAAACGTAAAACATAAATCTGGTCACAATGAAACCCCTTAATGGCTTCTTGTTGGCTTTAGCACAAAATTCTTAACATATGTTGGACCTAACACCAGCTTTCCTATTTAGCCTTGATGCTCCTAGAAGCTTCCAATGCAATACTCAATCTCTCTGCTACAAGAGTTTCTCAAGCATCTTATGTGCACTGTTACCTCTGTCTGGAACACTCCTCCATTCCTTCTTGGCTTAGCTAAGTCTCTCCCCCAGGTAGCTCCCCTGTTCCCATTCCCAGACAACCACTAACCTGCATTTTGTAACGACATATTATTACAGTTTACCTTTTCTAGAATCTTATAGAAATGGAGTCACAAAGTATATACTCCTGTTTTATCTAGCTTCCTTCACTCAGCATAATTATTTTGAGATACAGCCATGTTGTTGCATACATCAATAGTTTATTCCTTTGATTTACTTGATTTCAGACTTCTGGCCTGTAAAACTGTGACAGAATGAATCTCTATTGTTTTAAACCACCTGGTTTGTGGTGCTTTGCTATGGCACCCCTAGGAAATAAATATAGTAGTATGATTTTGTTTTTTTAAAATTTATTTTTATTGTATATATTTAAGGTGCACAACATAATGATTAGATAGACATACACATAGTGAAATGATTGTAATAGTCAAATTAACATATCCATCACCTTCCATAGTTACCTTTTTTGTGTGTGTATAGTAAGAGCACCTAAAATCTACTCTTAGAAAATTTTCAGTATACAGTATAATGTCATTAACTACAGTCCTCATGCTGTACATAGATCTCTAGACTTATTCATCCTGCATAACTGCACATTCGTACCCTCTGACTTAGTTCTCCCTATTTCCTTGTTCCTTCAGGCCTACCTGTAGTAACGACGACTTCACTCTAGCCAGAAACTTGGTGCTTCACCATCCTATTTTTGTTCCTGTCACTCTGCCCATACCTTTGTAAATAGTCACTCTTTCTTGCAGAGACCCTGATTCATACAATGCTAAAAATATTTTGTTGATTTCGACCCAAACCACAACACATACATTAAGTGAGTTTTATAGCCCTACATTTCTTCACTGTTTTCACTCAACACAATTCAGGTTTCTAATATTTTTCATGAGTTTCAAATGATTCCAAACACTGTACAGTAAGTCCTCACTGGGCCTGGAAACTGGTATTTTAAGCAAAACGATGCACAGCAGCTCTTGGAATAACATCATTTCCTTCAACATCATTTTGTTATGATGTTGATAAGAAAAAAATTACTTTTGTTATACATCGTTTCTCTTGAAGTCGCAGTTTCTAAGAACCTATCGGTGTCGTGGAGTGAGGACTTATTCCTCTTAACCTCACTGCTCCATTTCTTCATTCCTTCACTCCTTCACTCTTCAGCAGAGACGCTGAGAGATTACTAAGTGCCAGAAGTGTGCTTCCCTGCAAGTTCAAAGAGAAGTAAAAAACAGGAACTCACATTCAGGTGAGAGATACAAATAAATAACTCCAACGCAAAAGGATAAATAGAGCAACAGGAGATGTCCCCAGGCCCGCAGGTGCAGAGCCCTGACTGTCATCACACTAGCACCGCGCCACAGCCCTGCTCCGGCCTCCCCTCCTCTCTTTGCCGTCTCCCGCCCTCCCCACACTCTTGCAGCTCCCGTATCTCATTTAATACAGCCAAACAATCAGGCAAATATTATCGTCTCCATTTTACATAAAAGGAAACTAAGGCCAAGGGAGACTAAGTAGCGTGCTTGTGAGTGGCAGAGCTGTCTCTTGTAACCATTACCGGCCACTGCCTTGTAAACCTGAAACTAAGGCTAAATCGCTCTTTCCCACAGATTTCCACCTCGAAGCTACAATGTTTCTAGAATAGATGGTAAAACAGTGGCTCTGTTCTGAGTCTTCTAATGACTGCATAGGAAATGTGGTGTGGGTAGGCCAGGAAGCTGTCGTCACCTCTCTTCATTACACTAATTGCTCTGAGGATGAAACGGGACCTGTTTCCCCTCTCCTTATCCTACTCATAGTCACAGCTTCATAGCTCTGCCACTTCAGAGCAGCATCTGCTAGGGGACAGGGACAGCTTTTTCCCCCGTCAGTATACAGAGCATAGAACCAAGGCCCATAGGGGGTGGACGACTCACCCGGGGCCACAGCCAGTGGGAGGAAGCCCAATGTCCCAGTGTCCCAGGGCACCCCAGTGGCTGTCCTTTATTCCAGCCAGGCACGCCTCCTCACTGTGTCCCATACAAGCAGTTCTCATTCTAACCTTTGTATTTTTCTCCTATCTTCTTCCCATTTTAGAACAGCCTCTTCCCCGCCAACACCCACCTGCCATCTGAACACATTTAGCCTTCATTCCCACTCCAGCCCCTCCGGGTCTCTTTCCCCTTTACTCTCACTGTCCTGCACCTCACCAGGGGTCAACAACAGTGTCACACTGTATGACTTAACTATGCCACATGGATTGCACTTGCCAGCCACAATAGATGCCAGCCCACTCAGGCAGGGCCGAATCTTCTACTTTGGGGATAATCCCACAGCAATGTAGTCCTGAGGCCATAGGAGGCAAGGATACATATTACAGCTTGTGACTGAAGTCTGTATAGCCCGCTATGCTGAAAGCATCCCTTTTCTGCAGGTCTTCAAGCAGGGATGCTGATTTCTACACATAAGGATATGCTATGGATCCAGTACACACACTGGAACCTGTCACATCCAGCCATCTCTGCAGCAGGCTTCCCCTCGCTGTCCCCCCACTCTCCACCCTGGGGTGGTGAGGAGCAACCTGACAGTGCTTCACCTTTCGCCATGCCGTGCACCTGCCACTTCCAGTCTCAGGGCTTCTCAGATGCAAGGCCTGGCATCATGCCTGAAGCTCACCACAGCTGCAGAAGTGTGCAGAGGAGTTAATAACCCTAGGATTTCCCTAACCAACAGGGTTTTGAGGCTATGGATAAATGAGTCCTGCAGGACTGAGCACTGGTACAGCAGCGGCCAAGGCAATCACTTTCCCTGCTTCTCCATTTCACTCTGACCTTCAATCTTGTTCCCTGCTGGGCATCTCCTCCCAGGCTCTGCATTCTGAGGGACCAGGCTAAGACAATGCTGCTTGGAAATGTTGGTTTGGGATTAGCTAAGAAGTTGCTGAGAAACACAGGGTCCTCCAAGTTCCCACCACCTTTTTCTTTTTTTCTTTCTTTTTTTTTTTTTTTTTTTTTTTTAAGTTCCCTTTTGCTTTCTTCCCTCCTCTTGTGTTTCAACGACTAATGTCAAGGTCCTGTTTAGGAAAAGTCTTGTATTAGCCTGTTCTCAGAATAGTAAATGCTTCCAGTGTCCTGCTGGTTATTTGAAGGACTGAGGTTGGAAGAACTACGTTCTTCTAGTCAGGGTTTTCCTACTTCCTAGGTTAGGGAGTGATTTTTGCTGGATTAAGGAGTAACCTAGCTCAAATCACTTCGTCTTTCTGGGCGGGGTTTTCTCAGCTGTAAAGTGGGATAACAGCGGCCCCGGCTATTTTGCTGGGTATGGGGGATCATAGGAGATGAAAAGGGGAGTGTTTTTTTAAAAGGAGTTCAACAATAGAAGAACCTTCGGGTTACTCCGGAGCAAGGAGGGTGGAGAACAAGGCGCGGCCCTCCAGGGGTCTCCAGCGCTCCACCTTCCAGAGGACTGAGCCCGCCACAGCGCCCGGGTTTCCGGAGCAGCTCGGTTTCCTCTGAGCCGACTGCGGCCACATCGCGATGTTTACTAGAATCCTGGCGGTTTGCGAACCCAGATGTCAGACTTCCTGTCCCGGAGATTCTCAACGCCCGGCTCACCCTCAGCTCCTCTCCGGCCTTCCCCAGAAAGGAGAGAGCGGGCTGGCAGCAGGGCTGGAAGCGGGAGGAGCGAGGAGCGTGCCCCGGGCAGCCTCACCCCTCCTCTCCCCACCCCAAAGGCAGGAATTTCTGGGATCGGCAGAGAGTCCACCCCCTCTTCCTCCTCCTTCCCCAAGCAGGAGTGGTAGGGCGGGGAAAACCTCCACGACTTTCCCGTCTCCCAGCCCAGAGCCCCGAGTGTCCGTTCACTGTGGCGACAGGGGTGGCAGAGTGGGTCTTGGGGGGCAGGGGTGGCGAGGTCCCCGGGAGGGAAGGAGCGCCGAGGAGGCTGCGGTCCCGCCTGCCGCGCCGCAGGGCCGGGTGTTCGGAGCGCGGCTCTGCTCCCCGCAGGCGCGACAAGGGGCGCCCGGCGAGCCCAGTGGTTAGCGATGCTGCTGCGGTCGTCGCTGCTGCTGCTGCTGCTGCTGCTGGGGGCGCCGCGTGGCTGCGCCGAGGGCGCGGCGGCGACGCCCACCCCCGAGCGGGTCCTCGAGTGGCAGGGTGAGTGTCCCCAGGGCCGGGGGACCAGATCCGTACGTTGGGGATGCGAGGGGGGCGGTGGTCGAGGGAGAGGAGGAAGGGGCGACGTCGGAGGCCAAGGCAGAGGCTGGCGAGGGCTGCCGGGTTTGCGCGGTGGCCGCGTGTCTACCGCCCTGCGGCCGGTTCTCCGCGCTCTGCAACCCCTGCCGCCGCCCTGCATCCTCCGGGCTGCTCCCGGGCGCGGCGAGGGGCGGGGTCGGTCTCCGGGTCAGCTCGGCTCGGCTCGGCTCGGCTCTGACCCGGCTTCGGGCACCCGGAACAAGCCGGGGATGGGCGGGTAGAAGTTTCAAAATGGAAACTTTCTGCGAGTTGTTTCTTTGGGAGGATCACATCTCGGATAAATGACAGCAAAAAGATGACTTATTTTGTCCCCTCCCAAAGCGAGCGCGCGGGCGGGTGTGCGCTGCCACCTGCGGAGTGGCCCTAAGCCAGGCCTCCCACGCCGCCCTTGGGGAGAGAACAGTTCGTCTTCTTCCTAAACGCCTCTCAGACCAGGTGAGGAAGGTGAGGGACAGGAGCTCCTGTCGCCCGGGTGAGCTGTGTGAGCTGGAACCAGTGACCCGCTTTGCTCCTCAGTTTCTCTCAGCAGAAAAATGGGGTCTGTAATACCCATGGGACACTGAGAATTAAGTTACCCCCTGTAACACGCACGTGTGCACAGTCAATCCAGCAAACATTTATTGAGCACCTCCGACACTCAGTAAGACTCAGAGGGACATGTGAAGAGACCTGAAGAGAGATCTCGGCCTTGCAGGGGGCCCCATGTGGGAATGGGCCGCCGCTGGGGCAGAGAAGCCCGGGTCCAAGAGCAGAAGCCCATGTGTGTAGGGTGGGAGAGTTCAATCCACAAGGAGGTGCAGGCAGCCTCCTCCCTCTGCCTTTGGCTAAATTTGGAGAGAGGGGGTAAAACAAGTGTGATCAATATCTGCATTCATGTTTTTCCTCCTCAACATAATGTGTATACATCATGAAGTAGTCTTTTCGGGGCTGTCTTTCCTAGCACTCCCTGGAGGCTTCATCAGGGATGGGTGGAACAAGACCGTTCTTATTTTAAAGTGGCCGAGGTCAGAGATGCTTTTACCTTCTTGGCAACTCTTTCAGTTCAGTGAAAATTGCTCTTGTGGATGCACCTCTGGCCTCCTGGTGTGGTCCATCACCACTAGGAGTTAACCATGCAGTGGTTATTCTTTTACATTTTAAAATGTGAGTTTTGCCAGGGCCTTACGTGGTAGAACAGGGCAGCAGCCCGAATGACAGAAGCTGGACTGGGCCACACAGAGAGTGTGTCGGGTGATCCTCTGAGCCATGGGCTAATCCCTTCTATAAGTAGCAGACCCAAATCCTGGCCTGAGATAGTTCCTAATCAGTGCCTTCTTTTTCCTAGTCGAGGACACTCTGAAATTAGAGCCATCTGCTACCTCTTGTACCCTCTAGGTGCAGTTTGCAAATCTGAAGGGGTTGACAGTTGGCATAGAGATTCTTCAGATAGGAACATGCTGCTACTGACGTTCTAAAGAGCACAGAGGCTGTGTACCAGTCCTCACGCAGCCTCCCTTCACGACTTCAATCACCCACATCGGTGAAATTTCAAGTGTAAGCTAGACAGGTTTGAAATCAAGTTTTTCTTGTCTATACAAAGATGGAAAAACAAAATCTTAGCGTTGAAAAGGACTTGAGACATCGTCTATTCCACCCACCCATTCTTCAGATGTGGAAGCTGAGATACAGCCGCTTTGTAGTTAGCCATGCTTTGGGGTGCCTCAGTTTACTGCTGTGTTCACTGTACCACACTGACTCACCTTTAGCCGTGATTAACATCCACAGAGCAACTGGGAGAGAAATACATACTCATTTTCATTTCCTATCCACTAATAATGGATATGTATGATGTACAGCAGATTATACATATAGTATTTTTCATCTGAATTGTTGGATATGTATTGTTCTTTATGTATTATTAATAGATTCGATATAAGCATATCAGCCTTTGGAGGCAGATGACAGATTGTATTGTGCTGACTTTTCAATCATTTATCAATAGTTTTGTATTGAAAAATCAGTAGATACAGTGTCATACGGTAGCTAAGTTCATGGGCTTTAGAGCCAGACTGTCTGAGTTCGAATCCTAACTGTGCCATTTCCCAGCTATGTGACCCTGGGCAAATTACTTAACCTCTCAGTGCCTCAGTTTCCTCATCTGTAAAAATGGAACTAATAATAATACTTATCCAAGTGTTGTCCTTGTGTTGCCCTGTCACCACAGTGTATCCTCTTCCCTTGGTCAATCCAGACCACTTTGACAGGTTGGCAGCCCTGTGATAATTATTTTCTGCCCCATGCATGGCACTGTACCTGGCAGGTCTGAAGCCTGTCTCCTACATCTAGTTGGCTCTATCAAGAGCCTCATTGTGGTTTGTTTTCCCGGATCCAGAATCTGAGTTCTTCCTCTAGCAAGTGCTGAGACATGATAACTTCACTTACTGTAGTACTCCAGGTACAGGGAAGGCAGGGGGAGAATGAGGAAGGGGACATAGTGTCCTGGGGAAAGGTGGGCATAGTCATCGCAAATGGAAATGGACTGGGGACATTTGAAAGCATTTTGAAGCTACATTGAAGGCTGAAAATCATAAACGTGAAATGGCCTCCAACCAATATAGTAGAAGAGTTTCCTCCTGCAGTGCTCAGCTTTCCAGAGGCAGGAGCAGAGATAGCCCAGGGCTGTCTTGGGGACTGTCAGGGCAGACTCTTCTGAATGACCAGTGACCAGGGGAAGTGAGGGTGCTGATGAGTGTGAGGTCATGTGCTTGACCATGGGGTTGCATCTGGAAAGAAGAAAGTGAAACGGGGAAGGGAGTAGGTGGCAGCTCTTGCCATCCTGCGCTGAAGGAAAGAGGGGTGAGGGGCTGGAGGCCTCCGTTGTTCATTCACTGTCTGTTGAGCACTATGTGCCTTATCTCCTTGTCTTAGTTTGGGCTCCTCCAAAAGCAGTCACTGAAACATGTATTAATATCCACTGGAGTGCACATAGTCTATTTGGGAGGTGATTCTAGAAAGCACAGCAAGGGCGTGGGGAAATGAGTCAGGGAAGGGGAGAAGCCACCATGGGCAGCTGGGGCTCAGTTTCACAGGGGGCCCTCTGTGAGGGACTGTGCAGAGCTCAGTGGACCCACTGAGGGGCAGGGAGCTGAGGTGTTTACCACCAACTCCTACCTCTCATTGACTGAGAGTCACGCCTGGGCATTCATCCTTCTGGCCAGCCCGACACACTCTCAGGCAGAGACACAGCAAGTGAGTCAGAGTGCATGGGAACCGTGTGCAGGTGAGCGGGCACTAGGTTAGGGGGTGTGAGTAGGGAACCAACAGAATCTGCTACACATGCCCAGATCGGGGAGATAAAAACATGAGTAGGATGTGACCATGTCTCCAAGAAGCTGAGAATCCAGAGACAGATATAGAAACACAAACAATTGCAAAACAGTACAGTAGGTGTTCTGATAACAAGGAATGAGCAAAGAGCTAAAGGCATGCAGAGGAGGGACTGGCCCGGGGAGCTGGAGACTCACCAAAGGGCATTTGTTTTGCTAGAGGTTAAGTAGGTAGTTTGCCATATAGGAAAAAGGAGACAGTATTCCTGGGAAAGTACATTTTGTGCAAAGCACAGAATAACATGTCGGACAACAGTGAAAATTCAAACAGCTGAAAGTTCCCATCTGGGCTCTTTTGGACGTAAGGAAAGAGGCCCACTGAAGGTCACTAAGGCAAATGTGGGGCTGGTTGCAGTGGTTCTAGGATCTCAAGGGGACCCAACAACGGGTTCTCTTGTGCAGCCAGGTCTCCTGGAAACCGGGACTGGCCATGGAAATGAAGCAGCTACTTTCTTTGTTTCTCTCTCTGGAGCTGCCTGGGGGTCCCTGCTCGGCTCTCCTTTCTGTTGACTGGTTTCTCCTGCTTTGACTTGCAGGACCTTTCTTGTGTAGCTTCGACAGTTTCCTGGGAAGTGTCTGTTAATATCCTAGGAGAAGAATCTGGTCTCACCCTTCACAGAATGCTGGCTAGTCCCTGTGCTCCATCCTTGAATCGAAGGCCTTCCCATGGCTCATCAGCCATGGTAGGGGCATGAGGTGCACACGGGGATGCTGCCTCATCAGGGGCTGTGGATGGGGTAGACCTCCAGAGCAAGGTCACATGCAGGAAGAGAAGCTGTGACACGTCTGTACCAGGAGGCATGGAGAGATGAGGAAGTGAAGAGTTTGGTTAGAGGTGCTCCATGTCTGGAAACAAAGTCTGATTGAGTAAATTGGGTATTGCTGAAAAGGGTTTGGAAAAGGGGAACCAGATCACACTTTTAAGTTTAGAAATGCCGTGGTCAGTCTGAGACTTAGAGAGGGTAATTCTGGAGGATTACAAAGAGACCATCTGGATGGTTAAAGCTGAGCTATTAATAAGTCTGTCCCCATTGGAAGATTGAGGAAGAGAAAGTTTGGCTTCAAGAATAGGGGTTAAAAAGAAGAAAATTAAAAAACAGGCCAGGCGCGGTGGCTCACGCCTGTAATCCTGGCACTCTGGGAGGCCGAGGCGGGAGGATCATTTGAGCTCAGGAGTTCGAGACCAGTCTGAGCAAGGGCGAGACCTCGTTTCTACTGAAAATAGAAAGAAATTGTCTGGACGACTAAAAAATATAGAAAAAATTAGCCAGGCATCGTGGCGCATGCCTGTACTCCCAGTTACTTGGGAGGCTGAGCCAGGAGTTTGAGGTTGCTGTGAGGTAGGTTGACGCCACAGCACTCTAGCCTGGGCAACCGAGTGAGACTCTGTCTCAAAAAAAAAAAAATGATAGACTTGGTGAAAATTAGGAGATGGGAGAAGTTGCAGAAAAGGAGGGGTAGTGGTTATACAATGGAAATTCCAAGTTTTGGAAGTGAATCCATTCTCAGTAGTGACCAGATCCAAGACGTGGTTGT